AGTAATACTTTAGTAATAAAAGATTTATATATATATTGATATTTAATCATAATTACATTTTTTTAATGCTAGAACTATGTAATGGTAGATTTCGCGACAATGTCGTCGAAGCTGCCTTTATACGGCGGTATCTTTCACGACGGTGGTGAAAACTACCACGAGTCGTGAAAACTGCCAGGTTACATATGAAAAGGCAGTCAAAACTGCCATTGGACATATATATACATATATGTCATACAAAACTAAGCTATATCCATAATATTGCAAAGAAAAGAACATTAATGAAAGAAACCTTGGCTACAGCATTTATACATTTGCTGATAGCTGATTCACTCTTGCGTTCTCTTACGCACAGCTAAACACTCTTTATACACATACACATAAATGCTGTAGCCAAGTTTTCTTATGTCATACAAAACTATAAACTATATCCATAATATTGCAAAGAAAAGAACATTTATAAGAGAAATGTATAACTGCTGTAGCCAAGTTTTCTTACGTCATACAAAACTATAAACTCGCAATTCTCGCAATTCAAGAATAAAAAAAAGATAACATTCATATAACCGCTGTAAACTCGATTTAAAAGAGTCCCACCAGTGCGGACTCTGTCACCCAAGAGTGACAGTCACAGCATCCACCGGCGCAGCCAGCGCGGACTCTGTTCCAAAAAAGAGATAGTCCCAGCACCCACCAGCATAGCCAATGCGGACTCTAACTTTAAAAGGGAACAGTTCCAGCACTCGCTGGCTTATTTTATAACCATCGCCGGTACGGACTGTCTCCTTCAGATGACAGAATCTGCATCAGTGGAATCCTTTTACATCGAGTTTACAGTGATTATATACAGGGTTGTTTATTATACTATTTTATTCTACTAATTAATATGAACAACTTTTGTCTGAAATATTTTTTGATTTGCCTAATACTTTTTGAGATATTCAAGAAAAAATTTATAACTTTTTCAATGTTTAGTTTATAATCTCTCGATAACTGTTTATCGGAGGGAAAAGTAGTACAGGACTTTTTTACTTGATTTAGTCTCAGGAATATGCTGTTGCAATGGTGTTTCAATAATTGAAAAATTTTGTGTATGTAAATTTTATGTGTTGCAATATTGGAACACTTTTACAACAGCATATTCCTGAGACTAAATCAAGTAAAAAGGTCCTATACTACTTTTCCCTCCGACAAACAGTTATCGAGAGATTATAAGCTAAACACTGAAAAAGTTATAAATTTTCTCTTGAATATCTTAAAAAGTATTAGGCAAATCAAAAAATATTTCAGACAAAAGTTGTTCATATTTTCATTAATTAGTAGAATAAAATAGTATAATAAACAATAGGGAGTTCCATTTAAAAAAATGGCGGCGACCTCCATATAATCATAAAAAATTAATTTTTTTGGAACATTAATTTTACCATTATATAGCCCTTTTAAAACCGTACAACTTTCGTCTGAAACATTTTTCCGTATCTCCCATATTTTTCGAGATATTTTACCGGTCCGGTACTTTTCCCTCACCCTGTATATGTCATATAAAACTAAGCTATATTCATAATATTGCAAAGAAAAGAACATTAATGAAAGAAACCTTGGCTACAGCATTTATACATTTGTTGATAGCGGATTCACTCTTGCGTTCTCTTACGCACAGCTAAACACCCTTTATACACATACACATAAATGCTGTAGCCAAGTTTTCTTATGTCATACAAAACTATAAACTATATCCATAATATTGCAAAAAAAAGAACATTTATAAAAGAAAATTTGGCTACAGCATTTATACATTTGCTGATAGCTGATTCACTCTTGCGTTCTCTTACGTTGAGAATTCTTGCGTGCTATTTTTAAATAAAAAGTTATATGTATCGGTGAAAAAACTTTTGAAAGATTGCTTTTGACGTCATAATCGAATATGGCTGCAGTGAACACCCAGGAGTCATATTTAGGAACATATCCAATTTGTACTGAAATTATTCGTAAATAAAAAAATTCAAACAGTTTTTAAATACTTTACTTACTTAAAATTACTTGGCAAATTTCCAATGTAGAAAATATTAGTTTCTTTTTCGTGCCATACCAACTATATTTTATCGCTAGTTCGTTGGAAACCATTAGTTTTATTAATCGCAAACATGATGTTTTCATGTTTGTACATAAAACAAATGCCAATTGTGTCATCTAAAATTTTTGTAAAAAAGACATATGTAAGTATAGAATGTATGGAAATAAACACGTGTATATTGTAAATCAAATACGTAACACAATCGAGAAGGTAATACATATGAAGCTATCATGTAAGAAATAATATTCAATATTCAAATTGATATTCGACAAAAGTGTTTAACAATTTAATGATTACCAGAGCTCTTCTTTTAATTAAATTATCTCTCAAATAACTAAACTGGTGACCTTCCGTTTTGTTCACACATTATGTAATATTGTGAAGTAGACATTCAACTAATTACCATTTCATTTCGAAAAGATAAATCATTTTTTAATTTTGTTTCCATAATTTCAAGATCGTTTTCATCTTTTAACGGCAGATCTTTAAAAATATCAATTTTTTCTCTTTCGTCGGTTTTGAAAGTATCAGTCGACAGTTTTTTTACATGCTTTCCTATTTGTTTCATTTCTGTATGCATGATATGCATTTCCATTTCTATATCTGTTAGTTATCGAATTATATATCGTATAGGATCGCTTGATTCTAAAAATTTAAGAGATTTTATCTATGTGTAAAAACAAAAGATATTATTTGTAATAATTTGACAGATTAAAAATATAAAAAAATGTTAGATAAAAACTATAAATAAACCCTTGAGAAAAAATGCAGCCAAAACTGATAAAAAAACTGGGCACTAACTGGTGGATAACTGATTATTGAAACTGATGACAGCATGATCAGTATATTGAAACA